AACATTCACCAAGATAAACTATATCATGGGTGGTAACAACAAGTATCAATAAATTTAGAAGAACTGAAATACAGTGTCTTCTCTGACCATAATGGAGTTAAACTAAAAATCAGTAATAGAAAACAGGCAAATCTGCAAACACTTGAAAATCAAATACACTTTCAAGTAGTAATAGTTGCAGTAATCAGGGCAGTGTAGCATTGGTTAGGGAAAGATACATAAATCAATGGAAAAGAATAGGGGCTAAGAAATAGATCCACACACAAATATGGATGATTTTCAACAACACAAAATCAATTCAATGAAGAAAGGTATCATTTAACAAATAACACCACAGCAAATGAACATGGTGGGAAAACGAATTTTAACCTAAACCTCAACTTTTGTTATATATTAACCTGGATCAAAGAATTAAATGTAAAGCACACCAAAAAACTCTCTTGGAAATAAATAAGAGAAAATTTTTGGGATCTAAGGCTAAACAAAGACTCCATATCATAAGCACAATCTATAAAATGAAAATGTCATGAGCTTTTGCTTTGCAAAGACTCTGTTAAAAGAAATAAACTGACAAAATTAAAAAAAAAAAGAAAGAAACTGACAAATTATGGACTGGGAGAAGCAATTAGCAAACCGCATATCTGACAAAGGCTTATATTTAGACTATATAAAGAACTGTATAAAACCATAAAAAATTACAAAATGGGCAAAACACATGAGCAGACATTTCACTGATGAGACACAAAAATGGCAAATTAAAGATGAAAAGATGCTCAACATTGTTAGGGAAATGGAAAATTTAAACCCAAAGGTATATTACTGCACAATTATCAGAACAGGTAAAATAAGAATACTAATATTAATGGGCTCTGCACCCTGTGGGTCCCACACCACCTCCTGTGCAAGCCTGGGCTGGCTTTAAAACTTTTCTCCTTTGTCTCATAACCATGTTCACCAACAATGATAATTAACCAGCTGCCCACTTAACAGTTTCAGGAACAAGGGGAAGGCAGTACAGAACTGAGGTGAAGCAGAATAGAAGGTAATGTGGAACTAAGTAAAGCAAAGAAAACCAGATGCTGAAAAAGGAGAAATATAAGTTCACTTCCTGATGATGCTATTTTTCCACTGTAGGAAAATCAAAGCAATAAGGCACTATATATTGGTCTGTTAATAACATTATCAAAGGCACAAATAACAATTTGGAAAGTCAGCTCCAAGATACACCAACCACTAGGAAATTATTTTCTAGGCAAAACCAGACCCCCATAAACAACATAATCTAGGCTGGGTTGATTCCAAAATTTCTTCTTCTTGGGCAGAAGTAATGGTAGTCCTGAATAGGCTTGGGGACACACTACCATTGCTCCTGGAACATCAGGACAGAAGACCATGGCAGACGGAGGTGCTATCCTAGCATTCATTTCTGTTGGTACCTCCCATGCTCCAGCAGTGAACAAGCTAGCTTGTGAGGGCTCTAAGAAACACTGCATGTTATGGTTCAGTTTCTGAGATTATTATCAAGTATGGCGCAATTGAGCCACCATTGGCTCTTCTTGCAATTCTTGATCTTCAGCATGTGGTTACCTGCAGAAACTTACCTGGATACTCACGAATCTGTTACAACAGCCCAGTTAGAGGCTGTTGAGCAAATTCTTTTTACTTTAGTTCTTCTCCTGCATCACTATGATACAATATCACCTACTTGGTCATCTCCTATTTTACTGAGGGTTCAAATGAACAGATTAAAATGGGTGAGAAATGGGGGGTTGTGCCCCAACTCTAAGGTCTTAGAGATAGTGAATTGCCAATTGTGACTCCTGTACTAAGAGCCACAGGAAATATTGTCATAGGAACAGATGAACAGACTCAGATTATAGTAGATGTAGGAGCACTTGCTGTCTTTCCCAGTCTGCTAATGAACTCCAAAACTAGTATTTAGAAGGAAGCTACATGGACAATGTCAATATCAGAGTTGGCCATCAGGACCAGATACAAGTTGTGAATCATGTATTAGTCCCATTTCTCACTGGTGTTCTCTCTAAGCAGACTTTAAGACAAATATGCCAGTGGTGGGACAGCTGAATGGATTTTATAGCTTGTTCACAGTGGCTTAACAGACCACTGATGAACCTTAATTACACAAGACACCAAAAGTATTCTGGATGCCATTTAAAGTATCTTCTAGGCTGAAAAGCTAGGTGAAACTGAGAAACTTAGTAAAATGATTAAAGAATGTGAAGGTCTGGACAAAATTGGAACTACAAAGTCAAGAAAATGAGTCTGTGGACAAAGCTTCATTAAGCTTGATTTATAAGTATTTCTCCATAGCGGAAGATCAAAATGCTGTGCTAGAAACCATCTCTGAAGGCTCAGCATTCCAAGTTCAGGGTGGCACTCCTGGGACCTTT